TATATATATATATATATATAAAACTGCAGGCTATAAATGTCCTGTGGGCCACCAATGTGTGAAGTGAGAAACACAGGGCAGGAACTGTGACTGAGGCAGCCCTGTGTCCCCAGAACAAAGAAAATAACCACCGAAGGGAGGAACGTCACACCTCAATTTGTCTCCTCTCCCTCCAGCCACGCTTCTCTCTCCTCTGGGTCCCCAAGTGTTATTACCACCATGTCCCAGCTCAGATGTGCCCTCCTCCAGGAAGCCCTCCCCGGCGCCCAAGCTGAGTCAAGCGCTCCCTCGGAGCTCCCCGAGCCCAGCCCTGCCCTGTCTGGGTCATGACTATCTAGGGACACGTCTGGGTCTCCTATTGGATTCTGAGCCTCAAGAGGGCAAAGCCAAGGGCTGTCTCGGTCCCAACTATGTCCCCGGCTTCACCCAGAACAAGGTTGGTCACAGAGCAGGTAGGTAGGTCCTCAGGGAGGGCTTGGAAGAATGAACGGGACAAATGAATGAACAGAGGTCAGTGCTACGGACAGAGGTAAGCCCGTGGCAGGGGGTGGAGTCACTCAGGGAGAGGGAAAGGAGGGGTGGGCACGGGGGGCTCCTGGAGAGGAGAGGGGCCAGCTCAGGGGTTCGGGGGTTCAGCGCTGGAGGCCACAGTCTATCCCTCATTACCTCCCAGCTGTGTAACTTGGAGTGAGGGGACCTCCTTTGGCTCAGTTTCGTCCCCTGCAAAATGGATACTATTCAAGTAGCCAGCTGCCTTCTGGGGCTGTGGGGATGATTAAATAAGTTCAGGGTCGCGGAGGGCCCAGTGCAGGTCAGAGTCCGGGGTGCTCACTTCCTCCGGTACACCCTCCCCATCCACAACCCCCCCCCCCACGCCACACATCCTCACCCCCAACACACTCCAAACACACTCAGGAGGGCCGTGGAGGGACAGGGTCCCCCGTGATGGCCCCAAGCTCTGTGCGTGCCTCAGTTTCCCCAAAAGCACAGGTACCACCACAGCCGCCACGTTTATTGGATTCACTCTTTGGCGAGGGAGGGGGTAAGCTGTCGCGAAGACTCAGAGCAGGACGCAAAAGAGGCGCTTGTCGCGGAAGGGGTTCTCTGCGGCGGGGACCGGCGTCACCAGCGGGTCGTCTTTGGCGTGCGTCTCGCAGAAGGCCAGGAGCTCGGCCGCCGCCTGCGACACCTGCGGACGCCCGCCGGGGCGCGGTCCGTTCTCCGCCCAAGGCCCCGCCCCTTCCCCGCCCCGGCCCCGCCCCGGTCCTTCCCGGCCCCGCCCCCCCCGGTCCCGCCCAGTTCCGGAGAGGGTCTTCCCGCGGGCCCCGCCTCCAACAGCGCGGGGTCCGGCCTCCGGCCCCGCAGCTCCCTCCGGCCTCCCCAAGCCCACCCCGCACCTTCATGCGATCGATGTTCACCTCCAGCTTCAGCTGTTCCACCGTCTTGCGGGCCTCCGCGATCTTGGCCATGTTGTTGGACATGGCTAAGGGCGGGGAAGAGTTTAAACGCCGGGCGGGAGTAGGGGCTGACGGGGTAGGTTAGGACAAGCCGGGGTCCCCAGGTAGGGGTGGCAGCGGTAGTGGGACCCGGCGACAGGGGTGTGGATGGAAGAGCGTACGAACGGGGTGCCCGGAGGTGGAGGGAGGGACAGGAAGCCAGAGGAAAGAGGAGGAGTGAAGGGACCTACAGATGGGCGAGCAAGAGGCAGGCCAAGGGAGGGCCAGAGGGGCCCGAGGAGGGACGGAGGGGTGCAGAGACGGGGTACCTAGATGGAGGGAAGGACAAAGACGGGCGAGGGAAGGCCGGAGGGAAGTCCAGTGATAAGGCTGCCTGGCAGGTGGAGGGAGGGACCGAAGAACAGGGCCACAGGTGCTGGATGGGGATCCAGGTGTCCTCAGCCCCCGGGGACAGAGCATGAGCCAGGAGGGGGGCCCTCCCCAGGCCAATTAGCGGCGGCTCGGGGAGAACAAGGAATTAAGATCGCGGCGGGAAGGGCGCAGAGGGGGCCTCATTAGGGCCTTGGCAGCAGCTGCCCCCTCCGGCCCCCTTGGGGAGCTCCCCCACGCCCGGCCTGGCCACCTCAAAGGCGCCTCTGCTCATTAGCCGCCCAACAGAGGGCTGGGGGGGGCGGGGGGGCGGCGGGCAACTCGGCCATGACTGGGAGAGGGGCAGAGAGGATGGAGAGAGGGACACATGGAGGGGCAGAGGGAGCCACAGAGTGACCGAGGCACCGAAGAAATAAAGAGAGGGATGAAGCGATGTGGGGGGAGGGGGGACAAGGAGAGGGGTCAAAAAAGAAAAAGAAAAAAGACAGAGTGATCCAGGGGGGACAGAGGGGATGAAGGGACAGGGCAGGGACAGAGAAGGGGAGGTGGAGGGTCCAGGAGGGGTGGAGACAGGGGGTGGGAAAGGATAAAGGGAGGGGCACATGGAAGGACAGAGGAAGGCACAATGATAGAGGGGCAGAGAGAGGCGTGGGGGGGTGGATAAAGGGACAGAGGAGAGAGGGGACAGGGGGACAGGGAGAGGGGGGTGGAGGGGCTGGGGAGAGACAGGCTGGTGGAGACGCAGACGTAGGAAGTCATTCATTCACTCATTCATTCATTCCTAGGGGGACAGATGGCGGCTGCGATGGGGCACAGGGATCCGCCGTGGGGTGAGACCGGAGCCTCCTACCTGTTGCTGCTCAGGGCCGGGATGGCAGGCAGGTGGCAGAGCCTGGGAGACCGAGTCTGGGTCCCCCCCCCCCCCCCCCCCCGCTCCCTAGTCAGCCCCGCCCCCTCCCCCGAGGAGCAGCCCCCGAGGGCCCGCCTCCTCCTTGCTGCCACCACCGCTGTCCCGCCCTCCCCCCCC